GGCCGCCCTCCCTCCCGTCTCCCCGCTGCACTGGCCCAGCAGGGCTTTATGTCAAGACTCGCCCTTGGCTTTGCTGTGTGAAGTAAGCGGCGCCATGCCGAGGGGAGGGATGTTGAACCCCCCCTGCCCCAGCCGTACTCTTCACCCCCAAGTTTAGAAAACTTGGTGCGTGGCAGGTGCCGGTTGTGAGTGGGGAGGACCCACACTCGGGTCAGGGCAGGGACATAAAGCCAGACCCCAGAAAGCATTTCAATTTGTGTACTGAAAACATGAAATTCAGGAACATCCAGGCTTTAAGGATATGCAATTGCCTTAATTGTAAAGCAACTGTACTGAAATTCTGCAGAAAAAGCTCTTCAGGCATTAAACTGTCCAAAACACAGGTGAAAACCGTGTACTGCACATAAGTTAGTTTTTGATCTAACAGTGTAAGTTTCAACATTCAGCAAGTCAGATTTTCAAGAGCTGTTCTGAAATGTTTAATGTGCTTTTTGTTTTAGGTTTACTTTACAAGGCAACTTGTCTCACTGTCATCAATATCTCAATACAAAAATCTTGCAATGCTTTATTTGCTAAAAAACTACAACATTAAAATTGGGGTTAGGTAGTTCTTTCCTTTTGCCAGCTGTTTTGTTATGAGGGGTGCCCCATAGTCCACTGCTAGAGGTTACTGTACTTAAACAATAAGTTACACAATTTCTGTACATAATTACAGTCATAGTAGAGTATGCAGCTGTATAATACACCACAGTAAAACACCATGAGGGCAAAGAACTACTATATATGAAAGCTTTTTGTTGAAGATTTTATAGTTTATTTGACCAAGAGTCAATCTGATATCCTCGTATCAGGAGACTGACATCCATCTTTCTTAGGCACTGATCCAGGCAGAATTGCCTTGCAGAAAAACCTGGCTCTTTTGCCAAACTCATGCATTAGTAAAAAAATTTTATGTAGCTCAAAGTCTTTAACAATGCTATAAAAATAATTATTTGCTAGTCTCATGCTCACCTTCAAATACATGAAGTATTTGAATAATTTCACATTCTCTTTCTGATTTAGGTTCACTGCAGTATTAGATCAGGCAGAAACTTCAAAGCCTTAATTAGTCAAGTGTGACTCAACCAACTGGGTATTTCAGCTTGAACAGAAAAGTCTGTCTAAATACAACTCTAAAAAAAAAGTTTGTACCACAGCAGATCAAGCTAACTAACACTGAATATCTTTTCCATGGTGGAAAAAAAAAAATCACTATCATAAGTTTTAGCACAGGATATTTGGGGAAAACATATTTTAAGACCATGCTTTGTAAACATTTCTACAAATCATTCAGAGACTATTGGCTTTGGAATGACTTTTCAAATACTTGGCATTATGCAGGGCGGTAATTAACAGCTAATGCTATGAAAACAAGCAACTTTAACATGAAGTTACGACAACAAGAGCAGTGAAGGCTCCTGTATCAAGTAGTTAAAACTGGATATTAATTTATATTTTATTATAAAGTTTATAGCATTACAGAGTCCAGCGTGGCACAATAAGTAACCTTGTTAGAGTTGCAGTATTTGTTTTTGCTTGGTACAAAAAAGCTGAACAGCAGCATAATTGTTGTTATATTGAATCTGGGATTGGAATGAATTTGTTTCTTCTGAATAGGGATGAGTCAGTGATTTAAAATAAAAAGGCTGCATTTTTAAATCTCAAATATGTGCAAAGTTCCTTTCAGTACAGTAGAGAACATGGTAGAGATGTGTGCAATCTTGAAAGTTACGTCCCAACCCAGATACTGCCAATATATTGCAAACAATCACATGGAGGGTGAACTCCGAACGGTTACTCACGACTTTCAGTATTATTTCCAAGAGTCCTCCTCACAGCTGGTGTTCTCTCCCCACCCCGGTTTATGTCCTTTTATGCAGTGCATCAAGTACTGACATTCATAATTATTGTAAAAAAACATTGGTCCATGATAGCTCTAATAAGTTTCCTTCAGGAATTCCAGTAAACTCTCCATCCTAAGACATTGGATTATGTTACATTGGATTTATGAAAGCAAATGCAATCTGAGAGATGAAGGTCTGTGAAGATTAGTATCTCCATTTTCCTAAGGTCTTCAACAGCTTTTAAAAACACAGAAAATGGATTCCAATGTTATTATTCGGGAAGTCCCTTGATTTTGGTGCTTTAGCCTTGATGTGATTTTCTGTTTTCACATGTTGTAGGCAACATAAATAGGATCCAATTGGTCAGCTAAAAATCCGTCTCTCAAGTGCATTCGTTGTTTCTCACCACGGGAATTGATAGGAATAACACCGGGGTCCACAATGACTACAACACCTACTATGAGATAATGCTCTTCCAGAACCACATTTGTTACCAGGGCAACCAGGTCCAACGCTTCTTGTTCTGAGCCTTCTAATTCCACAACCACCACCAGCAAGTTGGTCCATGTAAACACAGCGCTGTCAACATGATAGAAATATTAATGGTGAGAAAAAAACCCCACATAGTCAGAGGAAGCTAGTTATCAAAGAAAGACTCACTGGAAATAAATTTTGTAAGTACGTGAACAATATAATAAATGAGAACAAGTGATATAATAGCAATGTGAAAATATTCGTAAATCAAGAGGTGTTAAAGCTGTAACTTCTTGGGATATTCTCTGCCGCTTGTTTTTTAATTGTCCACATACAAAATATAAGTAGGTCTTTTTCTCTTATATGTACACAATCATGTATTTAAGAGTTCTTTGCACTTATGTACTGAAATGGGAACCATTAAGATTTCACATTCAGCATGTGCATACTTGATATTAATGTACTTGTGTAAATCTTCAGACAGGAAAGACAAAACCTCCCAAAGATTACAAAAGTAAACACTACCACTCTGAGACGGAAGAGGACCTACAGCCAAATGGCATATATCGTCCATTAGGGCCAAATGAGAATAATATATGTTAGAACACACCGTTCAAGAAATCCTTGAGATGTGTTTACCACATCCAAGTGCGTACATTCTGACACAGCCAGGGAAGTCGACACAACTTGCAAGTGCTCTGCTGCCCCATTCATGCCCTGCCCTCCCTGTCTTTCAGACTATGAAGATCAAACTCTGATAAAGGGGTGGGCTTTTTTTTTTTTTTTGAGCAGTGGAGGCAGGGGGGAAAGAGAGGTGTTATATTTCAGTTACTCTCACCACAGTCATTTCTAAACAAAGTTTTGGCGAGTTCCCTCTACAGCAAGCTCTCAGTCTAGCATGCTGTTCGATAAAGTTTGACTTCTGCTGCTTTAGATGAAATAAAAGGATACAGGAAAGTAATACTGAGGCTCTTACCATTCTGCAATGCTCTTATGTGCCCTTATTACAGAGGTCTCTATATCAATGGGATGGTACCTCATTCCTCTGAGCTCCAGTGTTTCATCCAGAGAGCCTACCACATACAGGGCATCATGCCTCTCTGCAATATAGCACAGGCATTTAAAACATTATCAGATCTACAGAACAAACATGGTCATTTGTATGTGCTTATTCCTGACGTTCTAAGACGTTCCTGGTGCTTCCTAGGAGTCGTCGTCTATAATACAGATCAAGCTCTACCATTTGGAGATTAGAGAATTAAGACGTCATACAGCACTTCCGCCTATTGACTCCAAGCAAATGAAACCAGACTAAAAAGAATTTCTGGGTCATCCAATTCTGCCCCTTCTCTCACGTAATGTAATCTCAGTTCATAAACCCAGTCAAAATCCATTGTTACAGCATCTTTTTGTCCCACTATTCTTACCAGAGAACTTCTGATCGATAGGAACACTTTTCCAATTTCCAAATTTAACTTTTTTTCTTTTTAAAACCAGCTTATACCCACTTGTCCTCATGCCAGCAATATTACTCTTAGCTTCTTAAGTTCCCCACAGTTAATGCAGCGAGAACAACTCTATCCCCTCCTCAGCCTTAACTTTGCTAGATTAAATAAGCAAAGCTCTCCTAGACCCTTCTTGAAGAACATGCTCTCCACATTGCCACATTCATCCTGTAACTCTGTTCAGTTCAACTGCACTTTTTTTTGCACCCATTTTATAATTCTGCTCAAGCGTGTAACTTGAGACGAAAAGCATGTTGGGTAGCTGCACTGTATTTCATGCATACTTGCTACATTAATTCACCATACATAGCCTCTCAAATGCTGACAAACTAAAGGACAACTGACATTGTTCCACAATGATAAGAATCTCCATGATACATGATTTTTCAGAAAGCTACAAAGCACAAAAACTTGCTACAGTAATCTGGTGCCTGCCACCTGCAACTTCTCTTTCTTTGTGAATATCTGCTCACAGATTCCAATTTCTGTCAACTACCAGCTTTCTCAAGAACAGGGAGCCATTTCACTTTGAACAGTGACAGAAGGACAATTCCGTCAAAGCATCCAGTGCAAAACCTTGCACTAAGCAGCAGTACAATGTACCCTGGAGGTCAGGTAACTACCCTAGAAGATCAGAAGAGGAAAGCAAGGAATGCTTAAAGCCCCTTGGCTGAGTGTTCTTTTATCATGCTCTACCAGCTCTGAAGGGGAAGATGACATGCAGTACAAGCTTTTTCAGGGAGCTGGATCTACGTTACATCAGCTCCTAGCAATAGCCTGAGACCACATTCCTTCAGGAACAGAGACTCCAGAGGGGCTGGCTGACACAGAACTGCTCACTGTACTAAGTAGGCTGAACTGGTGGAAAGGTCTTGGTGCCAAGAAGGGATCCTTCTGTGTAATGGTGGTAGCTGTGGGCTAAGGATACTACACATCTCTGATGAAGACTGTTTCTTTACCAGAATTCACCTTGCGCTTTCTGATGGCACTCTGACCGTGGAAGAGGGAAGCCTGCACGACAGTGCTCTGGAGGAGATGGAATAAGTGGGCTGCAAGGATTTCTCCAGCCAGAGCAATAGCACCCATCTTGCTTGTTCTCAAGAGCCCCACGGAGACTGAACAGCACACCAGCACAGTAGCCTGGAGGATGACCCTCTCTTAGCGACTAGATCCAACAGAGTTACATCACAGACCATTTCTGAACCCTGGACTGGTATCCACTGCAACAGATGGGGTAGCTCCTCAACAAAAGTCTGCACCTTCAACAAATTGCTCTCATCACTCACTCTTCCTCCTTCACATAATGGAGGACTAAAAGTAGGATGGACATGCATGGTGGCTGCCAAACTGACCCTTCTGTTCCGGAAGTGGGAACACTGCTTTTCTATCTTGTACCATGAGTGATTACAGGAAATGTAAAAGGTGCCTGTGAACCCCCTGCAGTTCATTATCCAGTGACAGCAATGAGGGGACACTGACACTATCCATGTAGATACCACCATTCGAATCCAATCACAGACAATTAGCAATATACATTTGCTAATAAGTTACAAGCATTCAAACTCCTTTTCTTAATATGTTTAGAGATTACTTTTTTTACCCAGTATCATTATAATCAATGAATATGTACAGAGTAACAATTCCTATAACATTCAAACTCCTTTTCTTAATATGTTTAGAGATTACTTTTTTTTTTTAAATGTGTGATAATCAAGAGTTATACCTACTCCATATTCTGTCTCAACAGAAAAAGGAGCAGTTTTTCTTCCATCTGCTTACATTTCTTAAGTTTAGACATCTTGGCTTAAATTGAAAAAAATGAGATTAACAATTTATTTTCTATACTGGAAAAATTATGGAGAAGTTACTCCTCTAGACCTTTAACTTCTGAAAGGCTGGGAAATCACTGGTATTTGTGCATGTCCTAAAACTGTTGAATGACAGCATTATTCGTATTCTCTAGATCAGCACTGAAACTC